TGTCTTCATTTTTGCATGCCACTGTTCTTCTGTATTGCAGCCACAGTAGAAGCGGTAGAGGCACGGGAAGGTATGGCTAGAATCCGGCGAGAGACTCAAAATCATCTCTGTGTGTGCGTGCGCTAATTTTAAAGAGCTTTATCAGCCTTCTGGAAGCTTTTTACTCTTGCATCACCAGAAGTGGGGGAGGACGGGCCCCTGCTGGGAAGCAAAAAAATACCCAGTGGGCTGGTTGGAGTCTATTTTTGCCTTTGCGAGGCTATTGCTTGGTGCAATACCTTTATTCCGAGAGTGCCCTTTACTCCGGAGCAGTTTGTGCTCTGGTGTCTCAAGATCTTGGTGCTGGGGTCCAGGAATCTGATCTCAGATGCCTCGTGGCTGAGTTCATCCCCTGGGTGACTCGATCCGGTGAAGGCTTGGTCAAAATCATCGAGGAAAAAGCAGATTGAGCGTCTCTGCTGTCATCCTCGCCTTCCCCAGCCGTGGGACAAGATGGCACCCAGTGTGGAGAAGCATTTTTTGTCCCTGAAGTTGGTCTAGAAATGACAGATTCCTGAGGTTACTGCCTGGGGAGGATTTTCCCTTGATTTTAGCCCCATTCAGCTCCTGATGAATGGGGCTGTAATCTGCATAAAGGACTTTTTCATCACCGAGGGAAGTTTGTTTGTAACCCAGCCAAAGTCCTCGTAAAAAGATTTGGCACAAACCCCTTTTTCTTTAAATTATCTGTAACACAAAGAATTGAACCATTTGGGTCCTTATCGTCACCGCCGGGATGACGTACTCAGCCTCGTGATGATAAAACAGAGATATTCCTGCCCTCGGTGGGATTTCATCGCTCCGAGACCGCCCGTGCGTCTCCTGGTCATGCAAGAAGCGTTGCGTTTGTCACCCGAGGACTAGCCCTTCCCCTCTCCTGGTGTTGCAGCGTGTGGTTTGTGTTGGAGTTCAAAGCCTTGTGCGTGGTGTCTTTGTCGTGTTGGTTTAGTTTTGCCTTTTTATTTTCCTAGTAGCGTGGGGTTTTTTTTCAGCTTTGAAAGTTTTCCCGAGATTTCCCTGGTTGGGGACATTGAGCACTTGTCTGGTCTTTGAGTTCCTGCCACTAAACCAAATTAAAAGAGGAAAAAATCAGGGAGCACATTTGCTGCTGTGACCCAGCTGCAGCGTGGTCCCCACGCGAGCTGACGATGCCAAAAATCCCCCACGGACCCATCTCCCGGTTCCCGTAGCCAGACACGTGCTTTCTGTCGCCCCGACTCTGTCCCGTACGTGTCTGGCGTGTGCTGGAGGGCTCCTCTCCGGGGATCCGCGGCTCACACTGACTCTTCTCTCTTGGTCTTTCTCTCCGCAGCCATTCGTGGATTTTCACCGCAGCACAAGATCCGCAGCTTCGAAGAAGCCCGCGGGCTGGATCGCATTAACGAACGCATGCCGCCGCGCAAAGATTCGATGCACTCGGACGGGCCGGTGAACTTGGTAACCTCAACAAACTCTGCGGACAAGAACGGCACAGGGAAGAAAGCCCAGTAACGGTCCGAGCGCCCAATCTGCACCACTAAAGGATCCAAAACTTAATGAATTTTATTTATTTATTATTGGGGTGGGGTGGGGGCAGGGGAGAAACCAACTTCACCTGGAGGCACGTTCATAATCCAGTTTGCATCCATTCTGTAAGAAAGGTGACCATTTTGTAATTTTTTTTATTTATGTTCGATATATAAAAAGTCCTTTTTTTTTTTTTTTTAATTTAGAAACCAATCTTAACTGCTAGTGCATATATGAAGTGTTGTGCTGTACAGCTGACTTCTCCTCCACCAGAGGCAAACCTCTGTGGGGGGATTAAAAGAAACAAAGAAAAAAAAAAAAAAAAACCAACAAAACAACCAGTCCCAGGCAACTTGGGTCGTTGACTTTGGTACAATTCGAAGTTAGCCTGTGCTTTCCGAAGCAGGTCCTTGCGTTGAAAATAAGGGTTGGTTTGCTTTTTTTTTCCTTTCACGTCTGTCTTCTTCCCAGAGTTTCCTGTTGTTTTCTTGCCTCCCTGCATCCGCTGCGTTAGCGACCGGTTCTGCAGAAGACACGCGGCGCGGCCGGGCTCCGTCCCTCTGCCAAGGTGACATCCAGATATTCGGGATTAGCTCTGAAGGACTCCAGGGTGTTACACCCATCCCAGCACCTTTCCTTCAGCAATTCGGTTTTATTCCAAGCAAGAAAATAACCTCTTCATGGGAAGGTAGGGGGGGAGAAGCGCTGCCCCTTGTTGCGGCTCTTCCCGAAGCTCCGCGCCCGCGTTTCTCAGCCCGTG